TCCAGGAAACAATACTCTCGAGTTGGCTTAAACGATAACATGTCAAGCAACTAATGAGTAGTGCATATAGACAGACGTAAAATAGACGTCACCATTGCAGGATGATGCGCTTGACAACTGTGGTGACCACACCCACTCCCTGTTCTTGCATAAAAATAGGGTATGCATGAAGTGTCCTACAAAATCACAGAATATTTGACTAGGATAGCAAAGTAGGATATAGGAATTGTGTAGGATTTTGGCCGGCCATCTTTCTTGGTTTAGTGCTTTCGGTGAACTTCTTATAGCCGATAGTTTCTCGCTTTATAGTGACATAACCTTCAGTTTTGAAGGAACAGATGGTTGGAGGGAATGAATAAAGAAGTCGCCCCGAAAACCTAAGGAGGATTTTCACGGAGTGAAGATGTTGGATTGTGCGAAGAAGACTTTGGCTCATCGTCCTGCGACCCCGAGCTATCCTTGCTGACCTTGCATCCGTCATGTGTCGGACTTCGACAGAGCCAGAAACGATTATTTATGAAGCATCATCAAAAATACTAACCTGGGAGAAGTGGCCGGCTAAAATCCTACTTATTCTTGGTTTATAAGCAGAGATTCGAGACTACCAGTAAATCAATTATATGAAATGTAGTTATCCTATTTCGTTTAGACTGATGGAGTAAAGGAAGTTGAATTATCCCACAATGCTAAAAGTAGAGCTGACGTTTCCATTGAATTTCACATAGCCTTGCAATCTCAAAAGGTGTTCTCATCCAGGTTGATTTGGACTTCAGTTTCGACCCCCAGCTGGACTCGAACCATGACAGAGGAGCGTTTGATCTCGACACGTTGATCTCTACATCACATTGCCGCGAGTGCCCTTGGGTCACAGGGCAGATGTGAATCCCAGGGAGGGCCAGACATTTTCACATATCACATTGTTTGATGAAGCAAAGTTATATCTGCAGGGACAACCGACTACATTACTTATTTTTCGTTTATAAGCTGAGTTTCGAGACTACCAGTAAACCGGTTAAACGAAATAGGGCAATTACACCTCATACAGCTGACACAGGGACACTCTTGGCAACGTGGTTTGGTAGCTAACGTGCCGAGATTACACGCAGTATTGTCATGGTTCGAGTCCCGCTGGGAGGGCTGATAAGACCTAAGCGAGGTCGAATTTGCAGTCACCTCAGCCTGGATGAGAGCATCTTTTGGAAAAACAACGCTCTTATAGCCGATTTTGCTATTTTAATGAGACATTCTATGGTTTGGTAGGACACTTCATGTCTGTCCATTCCTGGATGATGACCTTTCTTGGTATAGGTTTTTTGATGGTTGTTTATAATTAATGGTTTCTGAATCTGACAATGTCCGTCACATGAAGGACGATAGCTCAGCTCCAAAATTCACAAATTCGAGGAAACTCTCCTCTGCTATCTGGTGGGGCCAATTTACACATCGCTTCTACCCACTTTTCACACGAAACGAACGGTTTGCCGCCAGCATCAATCCACTAAGGCATTCTTCGAAAGCCGGCTTCTCTTCAAACATGTCCCTTGACGGCATCTTTCCCACCGGAGACAGTACGTGTCCTCGTGTTCTCCCCATTCCAGTCGAGTTTGGCACAGCAGTCTGTCTCTCAGCCTCGGCAGGAGTTTAGCCTGAAATTGTGCAATTGTGCAATTCCACTTTGCAGCCTACACCAACACAAAAGGGGACGTTTTCACTAATCAGCATGCCTTGCATGATCGCAGGTGCATACATTTTGATAAAACTTGCACCAATATTGCTTCAAAATCTAATAAAATGAGTATTTTAGATGCTCTGACCAGGCAGAAGTACTTGCTGTGCGTATGCAGGTCGTCTGTCTGCAGAGAGGCGGCAATCTGGACGGGAGATAGGCGTCAAGACGACGCGAAAACGCAATGGTTGGCAGCCATGTGGATGAAAGTAACCGATCCAGCGCCCTGGATCGGCCAGAGCGCCAGGACAAGTCGGCTTCCGTCGCTTTTCACCCTCGTCAGGCGTGAGAGAGAAAGGGCGCAAGAAGAGAACAGCCATTTTGCCTGCGCGAGGGTAACATTTTTGCCCAGTTTTTCACAGAAAATCGGCTACTGACGCTAACACGAACAAGGCGAACATGGCGGCACAATAGTCTGTCTGTACTTTATAGGCCGGCCAGACGTGAAGGTCAACTTGAGATCGGAATTACCCAAAATATTCACTTTCCAGCCGCCCAGCCTCGGTTTTATCGGCAGTTTTATGACGAAACCGGTCGCGTTGGTCGGTTCGCTGAGTGGCTGTCGCTAACG